CCCTGCTGCCCCACCCTGTAAAATATATTTACTCATTAAATCTAGAATAAGTATTTTTTCTTCTCTCTTTGGTTCTGTTTCATTTTGTTCTGTTCCACATTCCTTACTTACTGGATACTACGATATTGCAATCTTAGTGTGAAACAGGCCAAAAAGCACATATACTATCTTGCTGAAAATAAAAGGAAAATTCCTTAAAGAATTATTAAGTTGAAAGTGGCAGAAAATTTTGTACCTGCTGAAGTTCAAAGTTCCCCAGGCTTATCTTATCCAAGAAAGTCGCCTGCCCAATCTCTAATTCAGTATAAAAATTATCTACTGAAATTGACAGAAAATGCACACAGAAGAGGTAAAACTTTTGAGGTAAAACATGCACAATATGGCATTCTGTGTATCAGAAGCACAGACTATATAACACACATTCTACGATTCTGTAGGTTGAGGAGCCTTCAAGGTTTTTAGTGCAAATTCCTCTTTAATATTAAGATTCCTTTTTCATGTTCTGATTCCAGTGATGAGGAAGAATTTGAAGGGCAGCTGGTTTTATTTTTTGGCAGCCAATTAATTACTAGGAGAGTCATTTGGTACTGGAAGCATCAACTCAATCATCCTATCTCTGCTCTTTGAGATACTCCAAATAAGTCTGTTACTTCCAAATAACCACTCTTCAAATATCCATATACCACTATCTTATTCTTAATTGACTTCACTACTCCAAAGTAAATGTGCCTTTTCTCTAATTTTTTTTAATCAGGATTTTTTACTCTTAAAAAAAATTGTTACACAGAAGTAACAACGTGGTGGCTGACACAAAGGATATGAGTCCACAGCTGCAGCCCACCCCTCAGAGGCTTCACATAACACAGTATAGACAGAGAGGCTCTGAAACATTCCTCAGATTGTTCAAGACCCATCACCATGTGGACCCACCTGTCTAGATGCGCTGTGTTATGAGCTCTCTCTACAGTATGACAACCATGCTCAAGACAAGTGCGATCTGACAAGTGAAGGGCGGGCCTCTGTGCTAACATCCTTTTTTCTAACACCATCTAAGGGTATCGGCTCCATCTGTGGCTCCATCACACTGCTTAGTCACTTGAAATTGTCACTGCGGTGACAAGATAAGTCATCCCTAGTCCACATTTATGTAATTGAGTTCATGACCCCAGTGTCAGATTTCATATTTAACAACATCAAATTCAGGTCACTTCTAATGTATACGAAGAAAGTTATCGGGGAAGAAGCCACAAAGAATCATGTTTTAAACAATTTTCTGGGATTTCTGTATTCCATCACATTGACTCATTTAATCCAAAGTGCTGAATGGGAAAACGGCTCTTCAGCTACAAGTGTCAGACAGTAATTTGTAGCACTTGGACCCTGACTGAAAGAAGAAAAAAAAAATACCATTATATATTACAATTTTCTGTTAGTCAATCATGATTCTGGCTCTTTTTTCCACTTGATAAGAAGAGTTTGCATAATTACAGCCTTGTTTTTGACCTTTCAGATATATTTATTTAGTAATTTGAAGGACATATTAATACTAAAAGGACTTAAAAAACTGGCAGATTTATAAAAGGCTAATTTTTTTCCATGCATTTTGAAAGCCTTTTGATCAAACAGATAAACAAGTATAAAACGATATGTCTAACACTTCATCGCAGATTGCAATGTGATTGATACTACAGAATAACTGATCATTCTAGAATCATGAGAAAAACACGCAAGCAAAAAGGAGCACAAGGTTCCTTTTGCCCCATCTCTTGCCTTCCAGAACTGTGCTGTGCTCTGGGGTAGGAAGTACACAGTTCTAGCTAGATTGTACTTTCAGAAACATTTCCTTTTTAGTTGATGTATCACAGATATCAGAATAACACTGAGCTTTGAAATAATCTGCTGATATCATCGGTTTTCAGGAGAGAAGGGAATCTCCTCCCCTCAGTGCTCATGACTAAGGCTATCTGTGTGGAAACAGGCCCTTGGTTGCTTAGGAATTCATTGGCTCTGGTCCATTTGTTTCCCACTCTACTTGAAGCCATAACCTTCCGTCTGCCTGAGGTATCATCATTCATCAGCAGAGTCATGGCGTATCATACTATGTTAAAGGACGTTATTATTCGAAACACCTTTCAGACATTCTTATCAAGTGAAGAAAGAGCCAGGGTTATGGTTAAGTGACTAACAGAAAAGTATAATAGACGTACACTTCAACAGTCTCTCTGGCCATTATTTAAATGTGGTTTAAAAAAAATTATCAGGTTTTTAAAAATTTTATCAG